AAACTGGACACAGCAGATAGCTCAATGTGGCTTTGCACTAAAGTAAAAATGCAAACAAAACTATACTTATAGGCTGAGAAATCCAAAAACAAATGCTGTATGTTTTATTTTGCACGGTAGGTTTAACAGAATTAATTAATTTCTGTATTGTATGGAATGATTTTTGTTGTCATGTACAAAGCTACACAATGGGCTATTTATGCTCTCCCTATCCCAGGTATCGAAACCCGATTTTTAGCGTTATAAATCGTCAGTCTTATCTTTAAGTCATCAGAAGGCTGCTTGGAATAAATATATTTAACATTGGGATGATATACGTGATAGTAAAAATATTTTTGTTATCAGTAAATGAAATAATAACAATAATCTATCTAAGAAATAACTAAGACTCTCTTAAGCTTTGAATGAAAAAAAAACTTTAATTTTTTTATAGAAAAGTGAACATTAGATATATTATTACATAAATAATTAAATTTGTCATGATACCTAAATCATGATGAATATTTATGACAGTAAACCGGTATATAATACGTAAACAAAATTTTGCTTATTTATCTATCTATCTAAATAATACCCAAGTGTCTGTCTGTCATGCTCTGTATCTATGAACAGTTTACCGTAGAAAAAAATACATATAAAAATTGCTTATTTTCAAGAGTACATTACAAGAAACTTATCCATTTTTTGCTATTCCTAAAATTTATGCCGATATCAACATCGATCCGTCAGCCTTTGTACGTGCTGAATCTGAGAAAAAAACTTATTAAGAACAAAAATGTTTCTTTTTTGTGAGAGATTTTACGAAAGAAACGAGACTTCCTCCCTCAACTGATTGTAAGAAATATGTCGAAGAAATGGGCAAGAACGGAAATAACGTATAAAGAGAAGTTTCATTGAAGTTAAGCACAAAGCTATACAAAGGGCTATGTGTGCTCTGTCCACCACGAGTATCGAAACCCGGTTTCTAGAGTTGTAAATTCGTAGACATTCCGCTATGCCATTGGGGGGGGGCTCTAGAAAGAAAGGAACGTGTTTGAGTATATATATATGTGTTGTGCGGCTTATATATATATATATATGTATATATCTATTTATTTATCTTGTTTCATGTCGGTATTATATACATGCATGATTTTATTGTACCATGTCAAATAAATTGGTGTGAACTGAATTGAACGTCTCCCTTTGAGACTTCTTATAGAAATAACACCTGCCAAAAAGCGCTAATTTCGGTAGTGGTCTTTTCTTGTGCTCAGTAAAATGACAAGGCATCCAGCGGAAAAAAACCTCCGCGGCTTCTTAGCAAATCTGAACGCTATAATGTGCTTCGTGTACTCCTTTCATTGAAAACCAAAAATTTTGGTTAACAATGCACTGTATTCAGCCTCCTTTACTTAATAACAAACTCAATGAAATTTACCTTGTTGAAATAACACATGGAATGACAAAAGACGTTGTAAATGGCCTACTAGATAACCGTATTGCACATAAGCTCTGATCCAAGGGATTGGATTGACTGCACATTTTATGTTTATTCATCACTATTTTTAGGAAAATTACCGTTGAATTGTTTCAACGGTGATCTGATAGTACTCTTATAAAGTAATATTACGTTTACAAACGTAATGTGGGCTTTTTAAGAGATGAAACTGAATGGAACCAATATATATATATATACAAAAACATGATATCCTTATACACTCATTAAGTCTAGAAAAATATTGAGAAAAATATTAGGTTTTAATTAACAGAAGTTAAAAATCCTAAAAGATTAAAGACCATAAATAACTGAGTTTTAACATTTAAGTGTTCGAATATTTCTTTGTATTACAAAATAAGTAAGAATTAAGGTAGATTAAATTGTCATCTATAAGCAAGAAAATCGTTTAACTGTCGAAGTAAAACAAATCTATACTGAACAAGCAGTAACAATATATAACAACGCAAGCACATGATTGCTTACAAATTGGTGAACGATTATCACATCATCAGTGGAAGAAGTGATTTCCTGTAATCTTGTGAAGTAAAGGTTAATCAAATAAGTAAAATTATTAATTCAAGCTCAAATTTGTTGACCTTGCGAACTCCATAAAATCATAAGGGAGACTTGGACCCAAAATGTGGGAGGCAAAAAATACTGACTTAATTGTCGTATGTATACTACACTATCCTATCAAAAGTCATGGGGCATACCTCTTATTGTAGGAAAATGGGTGTGTTTACGAAATATACAAATAGTCTGGCTTATAAAGGTGATCAGCGGTTTGCTCGGAAGTCATATCAAACTTGTGCGCCGAACGATGAGTACACGGAAAGAGCTAACAGAGTTTCAGAGGGGAAGGATAGTTGGATGTCATTTTGGGAAAATGTTTGTACGGACTATTGCGCAACAATTAAATATTCCCAGGTCGACAGCTGGCAACGTGCTGAAGAAATGGAAGACCACAGGTGACAATGAGCCCAAGAAACGACCATGTAGGTGTAAAATACTGACTGACGGGAGCCGACGCCCCTCCAGAAGTCTGGTTACCTCATCTCGCCGTCAGACCCTAGAGAATCTGTGTTTGGAGATGCGAGCAGCCACAGGCAATCCTGTAAGTGTTTCCACGACACATCGAGAGCTGCATGCCATGAATTTTCTCGGAAGAACAGCAGCCCACAAGCCGTTGATAACAAAAACAAATGCACAACGTCAATAGGCATGGCGCAAGGCACACTGAATCTGGACTGTGGATCAATGGAAATCGGTCTTCTGGAGCAACGAGTCACGCTACACGCTCTTCCAGTCTGATGGACATGTTTGGGTATGGAGGATGCCTGGAGAATGCTTATTACCTGAGTGTGTTGTCCCAACAGTGAAGTCTGGAGAATGCTTATTTCCTGTGTTTTGTCCCAACAATGGAGGTGGCAGTATCATGGTATGGGGGGGGGGTACTTCTTGTGGTATGGACTAGGTCCACTGGTTGCAGTGCATTGATCCATGCATGCCGAGTCCAACATTGATGTTATGAACAATTCTGTGTGTCCTACATTGTGGCAATATTATGTACTAGCCCTAACACCTTAACACCT